TGTTGGTGCAGTGCACAACAGGACACAGCTGTGCTTCTTTGAGGTGTTTACCAACTGACCCAAAGAGTGACTTCAGCATAGGAGGGTTAAAAGGTGTGTATAACAGGATGACAATGTTAGGGATGCAAAGATGGCTGTCCGTATGTCAGACCTGAAATACTACCTGTCAAAGAAAATAGGGATTTTTGAAACAAGTTCCTCACACTGAAAGATTTACATCACAATAATTTCATTTTCCCCGTTCCCTCCACACAACTGTCGTAAACTGTGACTGACCTGAAATGTCTTGCCGTCCAGGTCTGTAAACGCCTTGACCGCGTGCTCAGGCATCATGAAGGTGATGAAAGCAAAGCCTTTGATTTTCTTAGTCAATGGATCGATGGGCATATTCATCTCAGTCAGAGGGCCTGGAGGGAAGGCACACATCAGTTATAAACAACAAGCAAACTTTTCAGCTGAAAATGCTCTACACAAAATACCGTGCGCCAAAAACAGTGACATGCCAAAAAATCAGCCCACATATTGAAATGTTTGGTTCCTTGTGGTGTGTTATATCATGACGCCCATCAAAATTAAAATGAATTCTGTCAACAATTAACAAACTATGAGCAATGTACAACACAGGGCTAAGTCCATTCAAATACATTGTAATTCACTATTTGAATATTCAACCTTCAATTTGAAGATTGTTGATGAACAAACCATATACAAATCAGTTGCAGTAACGCACACAACTGTACATTATGACCAACAATAATAGCTTCTCGTATTTAAGAGTGTCTCCAGCCACGATTTTTAGATTTAAGAGATGAACAACACTTCTTGAATCTGCTTGAAACAAGCTTCTATAGTGCAATTTTTCTTATCTAAAAACAAAAATTAATTTTTCCTTCCTTTTCATGAATTTCGCATTCAAAAATTCAAATTCGAAAAATTATATTTGAATAGTCGGTAATCGATCAAATATTCAGTTATTCGGATATTCGGCACAACCTCAGTACAACGCATCCTAATTTTGGTAGGTGATCCACTTAATATCATTGCTCTGCAGTAGTTAACTCCACAAATTCTGCACAAGGTATCCTTTCGTTAATGTGACGTATCGGACAGTGTAACGTTTAAAGCATTACTATCAAACGTTCATCAGCTGACCAGGCCGCGGATCTACCACTTTGAATGACTAAGCGTCAACCACATCCCGTGATGTGAGATGATTATACACATACCATATTTACTGAAAAGTTCCTCCAAGTCTTCCTCTTGGCATACGTAGGCAAGGTTGCGAACGAACAGTCTGCCAGTCTGAGGTAAGAGGAGAAAAGCTAAAAATAAAAACACTTGAAAAGCACAAAATATATCAAGTAGAAAGAGAGAGAATGTAAAACTTACCATAAAATCCAACTGTCAAAATACTGTTTGCATAGCTGCATCATGAAAGGCAGTTCCTTAAACCCCTTCGCTACTGAGGACTGCTACTACCGCACCGTTGTGTGA